CAGAAAGGTTGTTTCCTTTTTACTGTGTAACTCTTAGCAGGCTCTGTGCAAAATTCCTACTAGCACTTCTACTGCAGATAAAAAATCCATGGGGGCATCAACATTTAGTTAGTATGGATGTGCAACACTTGAGAGCTGGCCAGTAGCTGAGCAGCCACACAGAGATACATTCCCACCAGAAAAGTTCTCCAATGGTCCCTGCAGTTGGTAAGCACCATTACTGGAGAGAAGGCAGCAGCAGACCAGCTGTACACTCACCCATAGGAAACAGAGCACTGGAATTGCTCTCACAGCAAAGAAGCTGGAACAGCACTCACAGAAGGATGGATGGATGGATGGATGGATGGATGGATGGATGGATGGATGGATGGATGATATCCCTCCCTACCTGGCTCTCACTTAAGGGCTTGACTTTACACTCCCAGTGCTCTGCCTGTTCTGCATGAACATTAAGGCCCATGCAAGTAAAGCCATTTGGAAAACTATGCATATTGGCTCACTCTTTTGACTTAATGTGTAACACTGCTCACTGGTAGTGTCAGTATGTGACTAAAATGGTACTGTATGAAGTGTTCTGTATCTGGCCATACAGTCATAAACTGTAGCACCCCATTGGGAACTTAAAATTAATAGAGCAAACCAACCTGCTGGGTGTTCTGGGATAAGCCATAAGGTTTTTCCTCCCACTTCTGCCAAGACTTGACAAGGCCTCTGTTAAGTGCATCCCACCAGCCTCAGTGCAACAGCTCCCCATTGGGAAGAATATGGCTGTCAGCTGGGGTTTTTCCAAATTAAGTCTTGCAAACAGTCTGCAGAGCTTGTACAACAGTTAAGAGAGCCAGGCATTTAACCAATCTGCCAGCAGAGAGCTAAAGCACACTGTGTGCTCAGTAGAATTCGTGCACAGTAAAGGGGTAATTTCATACTGGTTTTGCACTGAACAATTTGTTGAGACGACAGCAAAGAGAGGCTCTAACCTGCCAAATGATTTCCTGCTGATATTCAGACAGATTTAAAGTTCTGCATTTAGAGCCAAGAGCAAAGAGTCTCAAGATGAAGTCAGTGAATAAACCATCAAAAATGTCATTTATAAACACTGCACTTCAACAGAGCAAATGAGTTAGAACTAATGCTAAAGAGATTTGCAGACACTTTGCAAATACAGACACCTAGCCATGTGGCAGCTGAGTACAGGCCTTTTCTGCAGAACATTTGCTTTCTTTAAAGCCTGAAACACTGCAGTACAGCTTGAGACTACTCAGAACACAAAATAAACTTGGTATTTTAAACACGATCATCTGAATATTTTCAGTTACTTGATTCTGAGAAAATCATCCAAATGAATGAATGTGTTAGACTCCTTTGATTCACACAGAATTAGTTTTAGGAATTTTTTTTTACAAACTCTCTCTCTCTCTGCTCAAGGGGTGTTTGCATAGATAAAGAACTGAGAGTAACTGTCTACATTCAGTTCTACCTGCAATATTAATGTTTGTTCAGATGACTGACAGTTTTTCCCAGCAATCTTAAAAATGACAGTACAAAAATGACAGTTCAACATTTTCCTAGTTGGCTAGATTCTAGAATTTGAATTGACTTTACAGAAATTAGTCTTTGCAAAAAAAAACTACTCTAAAGTTAAGTTGCATTTCTAGCATCCAGCAAACTATGTGATGTAATTAATTGTTGGAGTTTATTATTATTGGAAAGTTTTATCCAAAAATCTGTGGAGAATATATTTTCTTCTGATTGCATACATATTGAAGAGATCTTTCATCTTGGAAACTAACTGCCCTGTTTTATTGATGTTCAGTGAAACTCAGTCACAAAATTACCTGTAAATTAGTATACTCTGAACAAAGGAAAGAAAAATACCTAGCAGCTCTGCTTGTAGGAATTCCAAGATAGTGCATGGCCTCACTACACAGAAACTCTCGAACAGAAGAGCGAAGCACAGCTCTCCCATCACCATTCCTACGGAGAACACAGAAATAAGGAACAGGTCATAAAATCAAAGTAAATTTAAAAAAGAAAACATTCTGTTTTAGAGTACATAGAGTAACTGCCACTTACCTGGAGTATGGGGTCTTTCCTGACCCTTTTAATTGCAGTTCCCACCTCTCACCATGCCTGCAAAAATACCATTGGCATTTTTAACAACAGACCTCAGGTTAACCATGAATCAGCTAAACTGAACACAGAGTTCAATCAGACACTTAAAAAAAGTCACACCTGTTTGTATATACTCCGATCAAGTGGGCTCTTCCATCCCCCAGCTGACCTGCCCAGCTACCAAACTGACAAAAATTAAAATCAAGTTATTGTCCTCTATCATTTATAGAAGTTATACTTGAAGCAATACAGATTAAATCTAAGTCCTCACAAAAGACACATTTGCTCACATTAAAATGTTGAGCCCTAAAGCTGTGCTTCCACACTCACTCCAAAAATGAATCAGAAAACCACAGTAACACCAGTAATCCTCTTTTTTTTTTTTGCCTTCCAGCTACGACGTACAGCTACAGACCTGTCTTTTTTGTATAATGAGCCTTTAAACCCACATGGCTTGTTTAGGTTTTTTTAATTGGAAATTACAAATCAAATTCTAGCATTCTTCTCCATGAATAATCATAGCTATTTCAATGAAACTTGAACCTTAGTAATCATGGTGTTGCAGTGAGGCTCTGTCCTTCTCCACTCCTCTGAGCTATTAGTATTAGATACTAATAGTTGGCCAGGCTGCTGGGGTGCTAAGCAGAATCAGCAGCTAATGAAAGTTAAAAAGATTATTTGCTTCAGGCATAAACAAAAGCAGAGCAAGTAAGCAGGGTACTGTGGAAGGATATTATAGTTCTTTTCCACCTGCAGCCCATTGCAAAGAACAAGTCTGCAATCAAACTGTTAGTAAGCACTCATGTACTCACAGGCACACACTCATGTACTTACAGGTATTATCCAGGTGTAATTCACAAGGAAAGACCTACACAATTCCACCTGGAAGAACGAGTGCCATACTTACCTGGTGACCCCCATACCTATGGGCCAGTGGAACAGACCCAGATATCACTTTCCCACCACTGATGAACTCCAGAAAATCAGATGATCCTTTGACAGATATATCAAGATCCAAAATATTTTCAAGAACTTCCTGGAGAAAAAAAATAATAGTTGAACATGATCAAATTGTCAGTGGTAATGAACATATTTTCTCTACAGATTTCATCATTAAAAGACATCTCACAATATGTTTTAAGTGCTGTTTGTTTAAAGTATTTATTGAGAAGATGTTCCACGATAAATAGCATATGAATATTAAAATATACTTTAGTACATGTATTAATAATTTCTACTAATTAGAGAGGAATAAAAAACCAATAGCCAACCTTTGAAACAGCTACAAGACGAACTCTAGATTTAAAAGGTGTAGGATAGACAACTGAAAAAATGCAGTTTCTCACATTACGGACATAGTTTTCTTGGATCACATCAACTGGAAAAGGATCTGTAAACATGAAACAGACAACAAATGCCATATAAAAAACAATTACTCATATTATTCTCAATATGTTTCCTCTTAAATTCAGCCAAAATGTTTTAAAAACAATTAAAACTTGTATTATTACAACTTTACCAATGTATATTAAGCCTTCATGAAGAGCAAGCCCAAACAAATTTAGGATTTTAATGTTTGGAATTTCTGAAAAGGACTGAGTTAAAGTTCTGCAGTTAAAGAATCTACCAGGGCATTCTAGTTTTAAGATCTAAACCATATCTGAGAATAGATTGAATAGTGTGACTGGAACAGTCTCAGGGCAGTTTGATGTTGCACTCAATTATATACACCCTAAAAGATATCTGCAGGAGACAGAGAAGTTCAGCTTTCCCCACAGGTGAACAATGTAGTGCAACAAATTTAAGTCACTGTGCACCAATGACTGCTGTGTACAGTCCCCATGCAGCAATGATTACCACACAAACCATGAAAACAGATGAATCTTTTCTGAGTAACGTAAACAGTGAATGAATGGTTTGGAAGATGTAGCTCTTGCTGTAGCATACATGTGTACTCAGAAGTTGTGCTTCATTCTTCCTTTAGTCCTACTCTGTGCCCTTTTCCATGGTAACAGAGGACAAATATTGTTTTAAAATGGTGTGGTTTACCATCTTTATGGACTTTTGCTTGCAACAATGTTACAATTCCACATTAATTATAAAATCCCAGTACCTCATAGACACTGTTTTGTAAAAATCTTAAGTTAGTTAGCATCTCTGGAGCCTTGCATCTAGCCATGTTTCTCACTACCTCTAATGACAGATCCTGTTATAGCCAGCTGCCACAAGATTTATCACTGACGATTATTTCTTAATGCTCACAAGTAATTGTATCACCTGATGAAATTAGTTCTGTAATGTTATCATATCAATTAGCACTATGATTACGAGCAGTTTTGTACACCCGAGAGCTAGGAGAGCTAGAATGCTTTGTGTACTTCCAGAGATGTGTCAGGTTATCAACTCTGCACTAACACAATAATTGGGACTCGGGGGGGCGGAAGCAGCTCCTTAATCTAGTTTTAATTCTAAAACTATATTTGACTGTGTGCATCAGGTCTTCACTTAGTTACTGCTTCAGGAGCTGCTACAACCCAACAAGCAAAAGCGCCGGGCAGGGCAGGAGTACGGACCCCGGGACCGGGCAGGGCAGGAGTACGGACCCCGGGACCGGGCAGGGCAGGAGCACAGAGCCCCGGACCGGGCAGGGCAGGAGTTCAGAGCCCCGGGACCGGGCAGGGCAGGAGCACAGACCCCGGACCGGGCAGGCCGTACCTAAGAGGCTGTCGGAGGACAGGGCCCAGGCGCAGAGCTCCGCGGCCCGGCGCGGCGGGCACTGACCCGGCTCGGGGCGGGAGGCGTTCGGGGCCGGGCAGAGCCCGCGGGAGCCGCACAGCGCGGCCACACAGCCCCAGGCCAGGCAGGCGGGCAGCCAAGGGCGCCACCGCATGTGCCCCAGCCTCGCCTTGCAGAGTCACCCACGAAACCGGCCTGAGGTCTCCCGCCCTCAAAGAGGGCGTCGGGGTGCCCGCCCGGCACCGGGCCGGAGGGCGGTGGCGGTGCGGGGCTTCCGCGTCCGGGTCGCGGCGGTGCCGGGAGGCGGTGCCGGCGCGGCGGGGCTGGGGGACACCATGGCCTTGCGGTGGTGGTGGCGGAGCGGCGCCTGGTGCCGCCGGGCGCCGCCGCTGGGCTCCGTGCCGAGCCCCGGCCCCCGCGCCGCACCGCGGCCGCCGCTCCCTCGGCGTTCCGCAGCCTCCGCCGGGAAGCGCCACGGCCCGGGGGCGGCTCCCTGCCGGGGGTGGTTCTTGCTAGGGGCAGGAGCGCGCTCGGTGCAAGGTTAAATTCCGGACTGGGGGGTTTCAGCGCCGGTCAGTGTGTGAGCCCACCGGTCAGTGTGTGAGCCTCTCGGAGCCGGCCCTAGGTGGGAGCAGGGGAAGTGGTTCTTATTAGTGTGAGATTTTGAAGGCGTTTGTGTGTGTTAGCGTCGTGAGCGGTAATGGGGGCAGTTCACTCACTGCCTTGGTTCGGAGCTTCTTCACAAGGCCAGGCTGCTTTCTGAGCCTCGCTGAGGTGCCCGGGCTGTCCTGACCCGGGACAGGGAAAGTGCTCTGGCGAACGTGTCCAGCATCCCGCACCGCCGCTGTTCCAGGGTCAGGCGGCAGTGTGAAGGAGGGAGTGTGCTTGTGTGCCCACGCTGAAGGAAGAGCAGGAAGAGATCAGCTATTTTTAGCAACAGAACGCGGTGAGAGGTCCGAGAGAGCGACTTAGGAATGTCTCAGCCGTAGGGCCGGACACTGAAGTCAGACAGCAGTGGGTGGCAGATCTGTGATAAGTTTGGGCTCCTCGCCTTCCTTTGTCTCCTTGCATGGCCTTGTGTAAGCACGGAGGATGGAAGAGTGCCCTTGAGCCATTACAGTGCTTTCGTTTGTCTCCCACTGTCCAAGGAGAGAGAGACTTTACTTTAATCCATGTATGAGGAGATGCCGAGGCAGGAGGAGCAGGTCTCCTTGAGCGGCTCCGTGTGAGTTTTTCCAGAGGCAGTTTGGTGAACACGTGGATTGCAGTGATTTTAGGTTGGCTCAGCCCAGCGTTGGGCAGGGCTCGGTACTTCCTGGCAGTGCTCCCAGGAGCGCAGCAAAAGCTGTACTTCCTTCCTCAGCCTGTATCTGCTGGAATCCTGTACCTGGGACTGTGCCTTCCTTCCCCCACGCTCCTGGGCTCTGTCTGCAGGGAGCGATCCTTGGAGAGATTGCTAGATTTGGAAGTTAGGTTCTGGATATCTAGCAGGGAAGATGGGCAGTTGTAAATTATAAACAGCAGGCAGAATTGAAATTGCTTCAGGGGAAAACAAGGACGTGATTTTCTCTTAGTGTACTGAAACAACACGTCCTTTTCTCTGTGCCTTGGTGCAGTCCAGGTTTATCTGCCAGGCAGGGAACGTTTGAAAATTGCACCTTGCTCAAGTGCAAAAGCAAGGTTTTATTGGAGCAGCTTTGGTAATTTAAGTGATAAGCCTCCTGGGCTGGGCCTGCGAGGGGGGAAAGTCCAAGGCTCCGGAGCAGAAGAGTCATTTCCGTGTGCCTGATGAAGTGTGCACTCATGTCTCACGTGGTGTGGAAGGGGTTAGGAGACTCCCTTCGCTGCTTGTTAAAATGGAGAAACAGAGCAATGGTGATGGATACATTTTTTTTGTAGTCAAATGTTTTCTGTCAGTTTAAAGTTCTAATAAACTATCCCTGTTTTTATTTTGTGCAGATTTGTCACATTACCCAAAGAAGTTCCACTTTCTCGTTTCCAAAAATATGTAGCATATTTTGGCGGTAAGTTGGAGATTCACATTGTTGTGTAGTGGCTAAGGACATAGTTATTGGGTGAACTGGGTAGTTGCATCTCTGAGCTGTAAACTTTGAAAATAAAGTTATTTACTCCAGTGTAGACTGCTGTTGTAGTGTTGAGTTTGAATCTCAGTCGTCTGTCCTGGAGAGTAACGGGCAAAGCAAGAATGTTGCAAGAAAATACATGTGGTTCACTTTGGAAAAGGAAACAGAAGAAGAAGAAACTTCAAATCCAGGAAAGAAACAAACAAATCTCCTAAGTTAAATGCATCTTAATGCATCCAGGTGGAGCTTTCACCCTTTTTTGATGAATTTTCCTAGCATCATCACACTGCCTGGAAGTATTGATTTAATTTATTATGTAGCTGTGTATACAAAGGAAAAAATACCAAACCTAAGTCAGGAATATTTTATCAGGAGTTTACTTGAGAGGGAAGAAAGTAACAGAAACAACTATTGTTGGGTTTCCAGAAGTGAAAGCTCTATCTGCAAGTATAGGCTACACTATCCATGGTATATTCAAAAGGAATAGATTGAGAGCAGCGTAGTGTTCTGTGTCTCAGAAGATCTGGGATCTGTGATGGGCAGAGTGTGTCTGTGTTTGCCAAATGCACTTTGCCAGGTCCCAGAGTTATATGATCATCAATGCACAGCTTTTCTGTCCTTGTACCTTACTGTCCACCTGCAAAAGAGTGTTTTCGTGTCTTCATGTATTTTAGCCATTTGGTTAAATGGGGTGTGAGGGGAGAGGGAGAGAAAGAAATCCTTTCAGATGTTTGTGTATGGGGAATCAGGGGAGCTTGACTTCTAACAAGACTCCTCTCTTGAAAAACACTGTTACCAGGTTTCATCACACAAGTACATCCCAGTGGTGCAGCTGCAGTAAGACAATTAGTGATGAAAAATACCAAGATCCTTTTCAACTTGGTAGAAAAGACTTGAAGAATCTCTATGAAGATATTAAAAAGGTAAGGGATTTTGGTGACTGTGCTGGGATGTCATGATGATTGTTTTTAATAGCAGCCATCAGTTTGGATATTTATTGAAATATATTTACTTATGGATATTTATTGACATAGTGTGATTTATGTTTATGAACTGCTGTCTGAAACTTAAACTGAAGGCAAATGGAGCATTTCTCATATTTTGTAGAACCAGAATGCAATTTTTTCTTCTGATTTGCAGTGCTGGAATGCATAATTTACATTTCAGATTACTCACAGTAATTTTAAAAATAACTTGAGCTTGCGCTGGGTGAAATGAATGCAAGCAATAACCATATACATGCATACTGTTTTACTTACACTAAAGAGACTGACTTTGTGACTTCTATGCTGAAATGCTCTTGTCCTTCTTATAGGAATTGCTGGTCTCTGCAGCAGAACTTAAGGAAATGTGTGATTATTACTTTGATGGGAAGGGAAAGGCCTTTCGACCAATGATTGTGGTGCTAATGGCTCGGGCTTGCAACATTCACCATAATAATTCCAAGTGAGTTGGCCACTTTCAGATACATGCATCATGCTTGAAAGTTATCATTCTTGTGTTTCTGAAAAATACTTCATGAAAATAAAATGCTCTTCTGTAAAACTGAATGTAAGTTCCATCTTGAAGCTGTATTTTTGCAGTTGTAAGTGCAAAAGGAACTGCTGGGTTTATTACATATTTCCATGTGTTAAATTGTGGACTATACTGCACTTGTAAGCAGGGTGGATAAATAATGTTGCTGAATTACAATATTTGCAAGGCTTTTAGTCAATTCTACCTTCTTGCATAAATGCTTTATTAGAACCTTTAATAATCTTTGAAACTATATAAACTTCATTAAATATTTTTCATTTGTAACCACACCTGTTCCTGTTAAACTCTGGTCACAGGTGAGAAGAGACCTTCATAGATTTTTTTTTTAGTAATTTGTGGTCACAGGTAAGAAGTTGGCTGTGAGAAGAGACCTTCATAGATTTTTTTTTTAGTAATTATTCTGAAAAACTGTTGAAGAGGTGGTCTGAGTATGTTCAAAGCTGTGAGACTTTGAAAACAGTAAGAGTTTTTTTCCCCACTCTCTAGTAGCAAGTTTCTACACTTTATGTAAGATTCTAAGCTAATTAGTTTGGTGTAATTCTTATGATCTCCAAGTTACTTGAAAGCAGTTTTAACTGAGCAGAAGATCATGCTTGGCCTGTATTCTCTATCGCTCCTGAGTCTGGCTCATTGCAAATGCTTCACTCCACATGTTCCTGTCAACTGCTCTGTTTGCATTTTGAGGAGAGATGTTGACTGGAGTCTTCTCTGCCTTCCAGCTACACTTCCAGTCTTGCCGTGTATAGAATTTAAAGTAGATAATCTTTGGTCTCTTTCCAGAAATATTTCTAGACTAATTTGTCATTCTTAAAGGATTTCTCTGAGTTCTTGCACCATTTTCTCTCTGTAGGACTAGTTTAGTGCCTTGTTGGACTTGATTACTACCTTAGAGCATGGCATATATTTTGTTGCATGGATAGCACCCTCCACCCTGGACCCCCTTTTATGTGAATACACTTTTGAAGGAGAAAGCAAAACTGAGCTGGCAGCGTCCTTTCCTCTGTGTGCCAGTTCCCCTTGTTTTAGGAAAAATCTTACAGGATTAATGAACTTTGCTTCAGCCAGATTCTGTTGTCAGTTCAGGACTGCTTCCTGTCATCGACTCTGAGGTAGCAAAAGGAACAATCTTGGTTGTGAAAATCCTCAGGGCTACCTTTTGCCACTGACTGGCTTAATATTTTCATGGGTGATCTTGACATGAAAAACAGGAGTATGAGGGTGGCACTTTTTGATGGCAGAGTCATTCTTGATGATCATCCATCTATGGTGAAATGTAAGGAAGCACAGTAAACCAAAACTTTCTGCTTGAGCTTGTAGGGTCTGAGGTGTCCCATTAGGGCATACCCCCAGTGTGGTTTGCAACCACCTTTGTTATGAAAAACCTCCCAGATATCCTAGCATGCATCAGCCATCCAGTTCAGCTACGGGAGCGTATATCACACTTCCTGAAATCATCAGCATGTCTGATCCCTGTGCTCAAAATAATTTAAGTCCAGCTGACTTCAGGGGTGGATTGCAAAGATAATAATGAAGATTGAAGACTTGTGGCCTACAAATTTATCAGGAATAGAGTGAAAGAGCTACTTAAGACAGAGCATTATGTTTCTAAGAGAATGGAGATTTAGGAGTAGACTTTCAGCAACAGGGACAGTGAGTTTTTGGAGCATCATTGGAATAAAATAATGGTAAAAATAGTTTTATCTCATTCTAGTGCGTAGCATGAAAAGCTTATGAACAAAATCATGTGTGGAGTACTGAGAAGGCTGGAAGGGATGTCATACAGTGTGGGAGTTGAACAGTGAATCAAAGAGAGGTAGCAGCAGAAAGACTGAATTTGCCTGTATGCTCAAAGCATATTGAGACCTGCCCTATGCCAGTAAGAAAGTGCCTCATGTGCCTGGGGCAAGAGTTTGCTTTGCAGTAGCCAGCCCCAGAGTGAGTCACTTTATTGTGATAATAATAAGGAAAATGACATAATGAGGAAAATGACAGTTGTATAAATAATTACCTGAATTATTACCAGAAAGATAAGTGACTGAAGTGTGTTGTTTCTCCTCTCTTGAAGTTTTAAGTGTCCTAAGTCCTACCCTGAGTCTTTCAAGTCCCTTGTGCAGTGCTTTTTGCTTATTGATAGCAACTTTGCTTTGTGTGAGAGTAAGAATTGTAAATAGTTTAAGTTGGGGTCATGCAAACCCTCAATTTCACACATCCACTGCCTGGATTTCTTCACATGCCTGTGTGAAGAACTTTACAGAATTATCACTTAGCCTGACAATACCTAGTGTTTCTGTATTCTCTAAAGGTGTTTGCAAATGAGAGTTTTTATTTCTTTTCCTACAGCCAAAAAGAGAGAGGCGGATAAGAGAGCGCTAGAGAAATACAACGATAATAGGTGAAAGAGTGAGCACAAAAGTTTGGGGATGGGGGGGGAAGGGAAATAAATTCATCAGAATAGTGTGAGAAACAAATAAAATGACATGGCTAAACTTGATGGAATATTTCCTCAAGATAGAACCTGCCAACAACCTTAGTTCCCTTTTGTTTCACTCCTCCAAACTGTCATTGTCAAAAGCCCTGGTGTCAGCTGCTCTGCAGTTTCCTCTGGTGTTTGCACATGCAGTCTCTGTGCTTCCCCTGGTTTGCAAGACCCTTCTGTGTCACAGACTCTGTTTCTGAGATGATTGCTTCTTTCAGCCACAGGGCCTTAGCAGGAGAAAGATGCTTGAAGGACTGCGGACACAGCACAACAATTTTGCAAGTTCTTATGCTCATTTCCTGTCCTTAAACTGGCAGTATTTACTTATTGCAAACATATTGCCTCCAAAATTTTTGTTGGAGAGTGTAAATGCTGGTTTGTGTGGTTTTATGTTCACCCCTCACTGTTGTTGGGTGGTTTTGATTATTTGTTTTGGTTTTGGACAGGGATATTTGGAGGGAGACATTTGGGGTTTCTTAACCTGTATGGTTAGCCTTGTTCAGTGTTCATGAAACAAATTCTGTAATGGAAAACATCTCAGGGTACAGTAGATCTATAAAACCTTATCACTGAATCAAGCAGGAGGTCCTACTGAAAAACAGAACATGATTAGTTGTATAAAGTATCTGTAAATACACATAATCTCAGGATATCTTTACTTTGAGAATGACCTAAAAATGGCATCTTTCCACGATTTGCTGTTATCTGTTGAGTTGCTGCCACTTTTTGCTTTTGTTTTGCAGGAGAAGCTGAATGAAAAATAGCAGGGGATGAGAAGGATCCTGGGGTTTCTGTGTCTTCCTCTAAAATAGGCATGCTCTGATCTAGAATTAGTCTCACAAGATACATGTAGGAAACTATTGCAGAACTTTTTTTGTCAGGAGTGGCAAGAACCTTGCTTGAGACTTTGTGGAAATACTAGTTTTAAAACTCCTTCAGATTAAATTTTCACATTTGATACTACATTCTGGAAACCATAAATATTCCTGTGCCATTTTTAGTCATTGTCAGAGATAAGATAGAGTATAATGCAGAACTTTTCAGAACCTGCTTTTGAAATAACTGGTTTTGTGCTGTCTTCATACTACTGAAATATTTCAGTGTGTCAGTGAGTGTTGCCATTTGCTGCTGCTTCCCAGCAGGAAATCCAGTCTGCTGACATAATTAATGAAAAAGGGAATCCCCAAAAGGAGAACAGTGCATGAAAGAGGCTGGAGACCTTTACAGTTTTTTGAAGGTAAGTTTTCTCCTACTTAGTAAGAGTAGTTTATTTTGGAAAACTATTTACACTGAACTAGCATTTGATTAAATCACTAGTCCAAGACTAGTGATTTAAGACTTGCCTCCAAACAACCATGAAGGTTTCCAGCTCTAATTTTCTGTTGTATGAAAGCCATATTTTCACAGCCTATGAGCTACCCATTCATCCTGCTGTTATTCAGGATGTAGAACTCCCACTGACAGCAGTGCAGAATTCTGTATAGAGGTAGGTGTCATAATGCAGGGTTATGTCAGCAGACTGCAATATGTTCTTTCATTTTGTGATTAATCACTACATTTTAAAGGACATAGGCAGTTCAAGAAAGCTTTAAATTCCCTTAGCTGAGCTGAAATGATCTTCTGTTTCAGTTCTTTTTCTGTTCTTCTGTAAAATAGTATGATTTTCTCTGTTGTCTGTGTACCAGAAGTAGGGTATGTTTCTTTCTTGCATTGTTTTTGGGTTTCTTGTGTTATTGTTTTGTGTGTGGGATATTTTAAATGTCCATGTGGACTTGTTACACCTATGAGGCAGGGCTGACTGGGATAGCCATTTCTGGGATCCTGCATGTAATCCATGACAAATACAGAAAAATACCAGGAGATGACAGTGGAAGCTGGATACCAAGGGTCTTTTGTGTGAGCTAGGTTGGCTCTTTTATGTGTTTTATTGCCAGTTTTGTTCTCTAGATAATTGCTTCTGTGTTCTTCCCTTACCTTCTTTTCACCTAGTTAAAAAAAAAAAAAGTGGTGTGAACTACTGAGAGTTGAATCATCAGTGTTAGATCTTTCCAAAGGCTGAGTTCCAATAAGTGTTAGGTAGTTGGTGTTTACACTCCTAAAGTGGTTGCAGTAGAATTCTAGTTAATTCCTCAGGCTTCTGAAGAACCTCTGGGGTTTTAAGGTAATCAGATAACATAAAGGATAAGATCTGTGAGTTATGTCTTGTAGAATGCAGGTTTCTGTTCGTTCTGATCTCTCCAGTTTGCTGCTCAGGAGAGTTATCCAGCTGTAGAGAGTTTGTGGTGCCACATTTATAGGTAGAGCAACAGAGATAAGGAAAACTTAAAGCTCATCTACAGAGCTACCTGGCATTCTTTTCTCTGCTGTTTTCCAGACTTCAGTCTTGGAGCCAAGCATCCTTGATGCTGTGCTATTTACTGCAGTCTGGATTTAGAGGGATTAAAGTTAATAACACAGGAGTTTTGCAGTACTGTTAATGCAGCAATGTAGAAATAGGCTAGTGAGGATGGACTCATCCCTCTGCACTTACTGTACTAATGTGATCTTACTTTCTCTTGTCTTCCTAATTCCAGGTTTGAAAGAAGGGGGTCAGACCAGGAAAAAGCCGTGACAGTCCTTTTCAGAGGAACATTTTTTTGTTTGGTTTTTAATAGAGATTTTGTAGTGTATTGCAGCATATATAATTGATTTAATTATTTGACAGGTCTTGTTTTTTTATTTTAGGGAAGTGCAGGCAAGCCAGCGCTCTGTGGCCATAATTGCTGAGATGATCCATACAGCCAGCCTAGTTCATGATGATGTTATTGATGATGCAAATTCTCGCAGAGGAAAAAGGACACTTAATCAAATCTGGGGAGAAAGGAAAGTGAGTTTGCTAATATGTGCAAGACTTGCCTTTGAATTTCAGCAGAGCACAAATGCCTCGAGGTTTGTAGCGTTACTACGGCTAGGTCTTGGAAAATGTCAGAAAACATATGAAGAGGTGTGCACAGTTTGTGGGTGAGACAAATGTGTTTTCCTTTTCTGAACTGTTGGAAGCGTTAGATAATGAATGATTGAAGTGTGTTGTTGTTGGACCTGTTCAGAAGAGACAGCTGAGAGGGGCCCTCATCGTGGGTGTCTGAAAGCAGTGTCAGGAAGATCCAGGCTCTTCTCAAGTAATGGGACAAGAGGCAGTGGGCAAAAACTGATACAGAGGAAGTTCCACCTGAATGTGAACAGATTGCCCAGAGAGGCTTCGGGGACACCCTCACTGGAGAGATTCAAGATGCAGTCCTGTGCAATGTGCTCTGGGATGACCCTGCTTGAGCAGGGAGGTTGGACCAGATGACTGTGGCCCCTTCCAACCTGGCCCATTCTGTGATTATTACTGATTTTGCATTCCCTGTGCCATTCTCTGCAGTACTGTTGAAATACTTTAAAATTTGTACCTCATCCTGAATGCTGATTCAGTGGTGAAAGCAAAAAGTTTTCAGTCAGCGGGAAATTTTTTTTGAATTGGTCCTTTTTTCACAGAGCATTACAAGAAAGGCCTTTACCAGAAAATACAAGGAAGGAACTTGGGGCAATTCAGAGTTCACATGGCGTAACAGCCTCAGGAGAATGGTCAAATAGAGAACTAATGTTCAAAAAAACTTCATAAGCAAACACTTACTGCATACCGGGGGGACAGTGCTTGTACAGAAATGATACTATATGGTCGGGATTCAAAAATTACTCAGATTTCAATATTTGGCTATGTATTTTTTTGCTCTTAAAATGAGATATTTGTGCTTTTTATAGGAAAGTTTTGTAATGTGAGTAGATCTGACAGTTAAAGGAAATTGTATGGTCTGTAGTAACACAGGAGAGGACTTAAGGGATCACCTTTTTGTTGTTGTTGTTAGGCTGTTCTAGCTGGCGACTTCATCCTCTCAGCTGCTTCTGTAGCTTTAGCACGAATTGGAAATACCACTATCATCTCTGTTCTAACTCAGGTGATTGAAGATCTGGTGCGTGGTAAGCCTTTTTCCTATTTTTATCTTCCAATTTCCTTGCCTGAGCAGTAAATCCACAAATAAAACCTCCCATCTGTGCAACTTTTTAGGTGAATTCCTCCAGCTGGGTTCCAAGGAAAACGAGAATGAGAGATTTGCTCACTACCTCGAGAAGACTTTTAAGAAGACGGCGAGTCTGATAGCAAACAGTTGTAAAGCAGTATGTACGTCTGTCTCTTCTGAAGTTAACATACCATACTGTGAGCTTCACAGCTAAACTAGTATTGCTGTTTGCTCTGGAGACCCTCCAAAGCAAAACCTTGGAAGGCTATTTTGCCAGAATGTGAATGGGTTTGAGATTGTGAATTTTATCACAGTTCAGCTGTGTAGCCTCCAATATCGGTTTTCTATTTTTCTTTGCGTTTTTTATTTTTACACAGATTTATTGTCATTCTCAATTGAATCAAAGTGAGGTTCAAATAATCATAACAGTGGCAATATTCAATTTATGAAATTCTCAAATTTTATTAAATTTGAGACAGTGGTTTTAAACTCAGTTGATCATTTTTGAGCCTATAATTTGATTTTAAGACTTCTTTGACATCTGGCCCAATTCGTTGGTGCTGAGGGGGACCTTAAGTGGTAACAGTGGGAGGAAATAATTAATTCATAGAATCAGAGAGTAATCTGCATTGGAAGGGGCCCATCAGGATCATCAGGTCCTACTCCTGTCCCTGCATGGGACACCCCAAGAGTCACATTATGTGCTGAGAGATTGTCCAAACACTTCTTGAACTCTGTCAGGTTCGGTGCTGTGACCATTTCCCTGGGGAGCCTTTTCCAGTGCCCAGCCACCCTCTGGGTGAAAACATTTTCCTGGTATCTCTACATCACTTTGTAAAAAAACAGAAGCATGTACTTGATTTGTCTTGGGGTTTTAATTACAAACTACTTTATCCAACCCTGTCACTTGGTTCTCATACTTCATTACAAAAAGATCCAATTCAAGATTATGTTCTTACGCAAAAGTAGATATTCAGTTGAAGTGCAGAAAATAGAGGTGGGTAATAGTCTTGCCTCATAAGAGTTTTGTTTATTCTTTTTAGTAAAAGGCAGTATAGCTAATGGATTCTATAGCAAGTGGGAATTCTAAGAGAATTAGACTAAAAATCTGTGCTAGTGTTAATCATCTTCCTTTGTTCTCAGGGGACTGGTGCATTTGTGCAACAGACAGCAGTTGAAAATTGCTTATATACAAATGATCACGTGGAATGAGACACATGGATTTTGGGGGAGGGAAAATACTTTTTATTCTAGTTGGAGGAAAGAAGTGAAGTCTTCTGGATTGCTCATATTAATGACAATATGACCCTGACAATTTTCTTTTGCAAGTCTTGTTTTATGTCAGTAGTCACCTGGACTAGTGAAGAGCATCACATTATTCTGCTAGCGCAGAAAAAACATACACAGGTTTTAATATTCATTTTGACAGTCTGCCTAAAAGAATCTTTGCAGATGATGGAAGAAATCACATTCCCACTGGGTAGATTCTCCATACAGATGTGCTAATTTAAGCTTTTTCCTTTTCATGACTTGCAAGAGTTAAGGATTTAAGCACTTCCCTCAAGACTGAGGTTGTGATGCTGGTCAAGGGGGTGTTTGGCTGCTTTTCTTCTAGTGGCTGCTCTGAGTTGTTCCATTGCTGAACTGCTGGAATTTTATATGCTGTAAAATTTTTGTTAGAAAGGAAAACCAAGAGAGAAGGTCTCTTCATGGCAAATCCTTATTGCTGCACATAGTACCAATGAGTTGAATATGTATGTTTCCCTCCGTTTCTTTCTGCATGGATTAGGAGAGCTCTATTGATAACAGTTAAAAGGGATTTGGTGGTTTCTTGGGATTTGGGGGTTTTTTTTGTTGCATGTGGGTTTTGAGATATTTTCATTTAGATTGCTTTGGCTACTGAAGAAATGGAATCAGAAGGGAGTTCTGTTTTCTGTAGCAAAAATGATAAGCAGGATCATCAGTTCTATCTTGAAAGGAAATTCAGGGAATCAAGAGTATTCCTATCTTGTTTTCAGGGACAAAACTAAGAGGAGATACTGTGGGTTTTAGAAGTAGTTCTGTTCCTGTTAATGGTAGGAAAACCTGATTAGTTGCTGTGATTTAATAAATACAAGTATTAACTGGAAAGAAAATGTCAAGCAAGTTCCGGTGGCACCTTAGAATGCCATGGTGCCATGCTTTAGAAATGGAAGAGGAGAGTATTCCTGCAAAAAGGTCTAAACAAGACATACACTGTAACTGATACTTTCTGTACCACCAAAGCATTACTGCATTTAAATCAAAATTCTTTAAGTTAGGACTTAGGGAGAGAACAGTCTGTTCAAGATGTTAAGAGCCATCCCAGTCTCCAGTTTATTTCTACAATAGTTCTGCATGGGGGAATGTTACCAAAGTTTCAATTAAAGTGTATTGTAAAAGGAAGCAGTGGCAGATGGCCCAGAGTCATTGAAGCCTTAGTTACTGCAAGGCATTTTTCAGAGAAACATGAGGTGACTTCAGTTCAAGAATTCAGAAACAATAAAGCTGGAGTGGAATGTCTGTTTAGTCATCAGGCCAGCTGGAGATAGCAAAATAACCTGAGCAGGTTTTCTGGTTTTTTTAAACCCTGCCATAATGTGAATTCCTGAGCCTCATAAAGCTTTTTATATTTTGCATGGTGTACTTTCAGATGAGGGATTAAATCCTGCTTGCTTTGAGTGTAAGAGATTCTTGATTTCCATATTAGGAGGAAGCTTGTGCCTCCCTGTGTAAGGCAGGGCTGTGGAAAGGACTGAAGAAACCAGTAGTCTGAAGCTCTGGATCTTCCTGGGAGCTTGTGCTGTAACCAATTCCTAGTTTGGTGTGTGCACAGGGCTCCATCAGAAAACCCTACCAGCACTGGAAATGGTGCCTAGGAAAATAAGACCTCTGACCCACACCAGCAGAACTGAATCCCCCTGGCCAACTAGACCTGCAGGCTGCAATAATGTCCAATGGCAGATGTAGGGTAATGGCACAGTAATATCAGATATTATGGTCAGCTAGTAAAGCTCCTTACTTATTTTTTAAAATACAGTAAGTCCTTTGGGGGTATTTCTTTTGCTGTGAGAAAGATATATTACATATATTCAGGCAGATAATCTTTGCTACTGAAGAGTACAACTCTGCATAAACAAGTACTTGGTTAACCTGTTAAAATATTAATCACTTGAGAAAAGGTCAAATAATGAAAATGCAGACTCAGGACAAGATAGTTGTCTGCCTTGTCTTGAGTCAAGACATCTCCCTCTCGCAGGGAGGCCTCCATCATCCCTTCCTCAAAAGTAGTTCCCAGGAGGGTTTGAGGAGCCTGGAGAAGTCTGTGGCACTCCCAGCAGCAGCAGAGGACGAGCGTGGGGAGAGGGCATCGCTGCCAGTGCAGCAGCACATCCAGGGCAGTGGCTGTGAGAGCACATACAGGACACACATGGGCACTCTGCAGGGAGCTCAGTGAAAGGCCACCGTGAGGGCAGAGGCTGGAGCAATCATGTGCCAAGAGCTGATTTGAGTCTGGACTAGGGAAGACAAAGGGAAGCTGCTGTCTGCAGCTTGTAATTGGAGGGCATAGAAAGGATGGAGAAATGTGCAGTGAAAGGACCAGTTGTACTGTGGAAAAATTCAGTTAGGTTTGAGGAAAAATTTCTCCACGAGGTTGGTCAAACATTGCGACAAGTAGCTGAGACAGAGAGTGAGATTTTACATCCTTGGAGATACTCAGAAATCAACTGGACACAGCTGTGAGAAACCTGATCTAACTGAAGTAAACTCCTTTGAGCAGATGACTTTCAGAGTTTCTTTCCAACCTAAACTATTTTGTGATTCTCCTGGAAAGAGGAACACTGCTCCTGTCTAGAACAACAGTGGTGGATGAGCCAGGAATGAGAAGGCAGGAACCTGACTGCTTCTGGAGATGGGCATGGAGGAGAATGGCTGGAAAAGGGAAAGATTTTAGAGCCTTTTCCTTTCCACGGAGTCCACAAATCTAGGACTAGAAGAACAAACATCTCTTATAGTATTTATTCAAGCATATTCTAGCCCAGCAGCAGGTTTTCCTCTCTGACCTACAGAGCACCGGTAGAGATGTGCAAATGCTTTCAACTCCAGCTGTCATATTGTCACATATTAAATATCAGAGCAGGATGTATCTACCCAGAGCTGATGATGTATTTTATGGATGTGAAATTCAGTAAAGAGGCAAAATTGGTTTATAGTCTCTCATATAACATAACAGAAACAACTTTTTTTTTTGCAAAAATGCGTTTGAAATAACACCAAGGAGATTGTCCTGCTTTGCTGAATTCAAAGAACGTTCCTAAAGAATTTGTTCCACTTGTTATTAGGAAGGATTTTTCAGCATGATTTAGTGGAGGACAGGCCTGAATTCTTGCAAGATTAAATTTATCATGAACCAGTCATACCTATTTGGGGAGCTCTAGGCTGTTTTCAAAGGGGAGTTATGTTATTTAAACACACATCACTGTATTGACTAGGTTATCCTGATTTGTATTTGCAAATGTGGGTATTATCCCAGAACATTATCCCAGTAGGGCTCCAGTTAAACTCCGTGTGGGAGTGACAGGCTGCCTGGCTGCAGCCCGGCCAGTGTCCAGCTGGGGGCAACAATCTACAAGAGCAGTTTGAGAAATTGCATCCTGCAGGAACTTCCTGATGGACACAACCCAACTGCATGTTTATTAATGTGGTCATGATCAGAGGGTTGCTCACTTGAGGATGACTGGCAAAACAAATCTCCTGTATTTTTAGATTTTTTTGGGTCTTTTTTTTTTGTCTATGAACAAGAATTGACATTTCAGGTTAAGTGAGGAAGCTCTTTTCTTTACACAGCACTTCCTCCCACCCTCTGCCAGCTACTGCCCACTCTGACCCTTTGTCATTAACCAGGATTTTGTCACTGAATTCCGTATTTTAATCCTCCACATGGAATGAAATGTGGAGGTGGGTAAGGATTTCATTGGAACAGGGTAGATGCAGTGCCCCTGCCGTGCTGGTATTATGTGATTTATATTACAGAAGCAACCAAAAGTTTGCATGGTACAGCAGTAGATGTCAGGTCTTTGGGCAAATACTGCTGTTTAAGAGACAAACATCAAAAGGAGGATAAAAAAGCAAAATGTTCTGCTTTGATAGACCCTAGCAACATCTCTTTAAATACCTAATATTTGCAGTTCACTCTGTTTAATAGCCTTCAGGATTTTGTATGATTACTAGAGATAAGTAGCATTATTTTCCTGCTATACTGTCCTCCTCTTTTAAGTAAAAGTGGAGAATGTATGATGCTGTTAATTTCTCAGTCACCCAGATTCCTCTGGGGTTTAGTTATTATCCACAGATGCAGGTTATGACTGGGAAGTGTTCTGATGCTCAGATATGAAGTGCACTGCTGCATGAAATCATCTCTCATTTTGTGCAAGTTGCATCACATTTATTAGTATATAATGTTGTTTCTTATTTCCATCTTCACGTTCACCTTCAAAGCTACTTCTGGACTTGCTTTTACTTTGGGGTTGGTTTTGGGGTTGGAGGGGCTTTTTATGATCCTACCTTACACAGTCTTAAAGAGGAATACATATAGATATATACATACATACACACACACACACACACACATACTTACTTTTATATTGTGTTTTCCTGGCATATATTTTTTGGTCTTAAGTGAAATGTATCTTCACTCCTTGCATTGGTCACAGCAGATTTGGAATGCCTGCAATAAACCAGGGTGGATTTTTGTCCCCTGTTCTAATTGGTTTATTGAAGGTTGAAATAAATCTGAGTATTTAACCAACCTCATTTTGCAAAATGTATAATCAGTACATAAATGCAAAAAGCATAAATGCCCTTACTTTGAGGCAAGATACTAATTTTCAAACCTTAGTGAATATCCTGTATTTTAGTTTTGTGCAGTTTATTCAGCAAAATTTCTGTCTGTCAAGTAGTTGATTGTACAGTCATGTTTTGTTTATCTCAGTTCAGTGATATCTTTGTGAGCTTGGTGTGCTTTCTTCATTTGCTGTCTTTTCTTTGCCACTAATTATCCCTCAGTAGCTTTGCCTGCAGGCTAATCAAGTCATCTTCCTGAGCAAGTCAGATACAGTTAACATCACCTTAAAAATAATCATCCTTATGTCAACTGCCCGTACTGTACTGGGTTCAACAAAGCTGGCTTTGTGATCTTCTATGAGACATGTAATGTCCATTTATCTGTTGTCTGACCTCCAGTTATCCCCTGGCTGATTTATGTATGTAATTAGTTTAATTTCCCCATCACTGGACTGTATACAACTACTACCCTGCATGTGAAGTGCATCCCCATTTCTTCTCTCTTTATCCTTGCATTGTAATTTCTAAGCCTGATAAATATTTAATGCAGCTAATCTCTTTGCAGATGTGAATGTAGTTTTAATACTGCACTGCTGTTCAGCCTTGTTTTCTAGTAAGCTTGGCTAGTTGTGTGTCTCCATGAACTGAGATAAGCCAGAATGTGCCCAAGTCAGTTTTTTCTGCCTTTCCCAGAGCCCTCCAGCCTGTGCTGGCTGTGTCACACCTATGGTCAGGGGCTAAAAGTGGACGCCAACTAAAGCTTTCTATTTACTTGGGGTTTTTGTCTTTTCAGGTTTCAATTCTAGGCTGCCCTGACCCCAAAGTTCATGAGATTGCATACCAGTATGGAAAAAACGTTGGCATAGCTTTTCAGGTAGTGTTTCTGTTGAACTTAAATGGAATCTAAAATCTAAACTTCTCGAAAGTGCTTTAGAAATCAAAGTGGGCTGTCTTAATCCTTCCTACAAATCTTGTATTTAACAAGGATTATTCTGTATTTAGCTCTAATATTTAAAAAAGAAATTTTAAACAATCTGTATGTTTATTTTTTCCAGCTGATAGATGATGTGCTGGATTTTACATCGTGTGCCGACCATCTGGGGAAACCAACAGCAGCAGATCTCAAGCTTGGATTGGCCACAGGCCCCGTCTTATTTGCCTGTCGACAGGTAAGTCAGCAGGAAGCTGTCTGCTCAAAATAAAAAGTGTAAACTGCTCCTCACAGGACCAGCTGAAACACATCAAATCTCCAGTGTCAGTGATGAGAGCGGCTGGGCACATGTGACAAATCAGTGGGTTCAGTATCAGATGGATTCTGTGCACACACAGGTTACAAGAAACACCTTCCTGCACAGCTCTCCTTACTGTTAGGCTCTTGTAGGTATTCAGAGTTTTGGCACATTTTGTGTAGGTTATTCCTAAGTAGTTTCTTGCTTGTGTTTTCTCCTGAGACATCTTCTTCCCAGGCTGGACTGTGTATGTAGGCTTTTTTGCCTTGTTCTGGGCTTTGTATCCATCTGGGGCCAAGAATTGAAATCCCTGCCTTGAGAAGTGTATATTTTTGCATTGAAAGATAACTTGACCATCTTAGAAAGTTTTCTGCATTAACCAGAAGCCTTCTTTGCTGCAGATGTCCTGCTGTTTAGATGGGTACCTTTATTTATTGGATTTGATCTTTTCATCTCTTTGTCCTCAAGTATTATCCATTTACAAACATGAGTAGGTTTCCTGTCTGAAGGCTGGGTAAGAGAAAAGGGAATGTCATAAATAAAACAAGCTTAAAATTGGTCAAGATTTTCAGTGCCTTAAAAATTATTTGGAGGAGCAAAACAAAAACGGAATTGTGAGCAGCAATGAAAAAAACATTAAAATTGGTGCTAATCCATAAACAGGAAAGAAACTGGTTTAATTCCTTGCTCCAGGGTCTTATTCACCAGAGGCAAGCAGATTTGGGGCTTAAAAAGCAGTCCTTCCTACCAGGCTTCACAGTGTGGTATAAAAGCTGGCACAGTTAGTTCCAGCAGAGCTCTCGTCTATGATCCCTCAGTGGAATTGCTTGGAGCTTGACATGGGAAAAGTTGTAAATCATTTAAAAAGAGCCAACAACTTTGACATTTACTTCTCCCTCTAAAAGAGCCTGTTGTGGGGGGAGGTGGAGCACACATATCTGTTTGCTTCCTTGTCCTTTGGGCATTTCCAAGAATCTGTATCTCAGAAAAGAAGGGAGCACAGAGTATCAGCCAGCTGACAAAGCAGGTGAATGCATGTTGAGAACAGCCTTCTCTGTGTCCTCAGTGTCTCCCCATACTCATCTGAGGGATTCACAGCATGTTCTGGAATCATTATTTCAGAATTGTGCCATGAGCATTTGGAGCTGTCCAAAGAACAGTGAGGCACTGAGGTAGAGAGGGAGGGTGGAGTTGTAAAACTGTTTTTGTGTGTGCTAAAGCCATGTGCAGAAGGAAACAAGGCATGTTGCAAATACCCAATTTTGGCAGAGAATGGGTGACATTGATTGTCTTGTGGGTATTGAATATTCTAATTTTTAAATTAAAACTTCGTTGTTAATTTGTTTGGGTTGTCTGTCTCTGACTTTGAACTTCATCTGTCTTTTAATTAGCTTTACAAGACAAATTGGTTCATAATACAGAAATAAAAGAAAATAAAACCTGTCAGTCCTATTTTAAAATCTTGCTCTTTGTAAGCCACTTTTAAATGCTTTTCCTCATTTATATCTTTGATAGATGGGAAGTGTACATTTTTGCATTGAAAGATAACTTGACCATCTTAGAAAGTTTTCTGCATTAACCAGAAGCCTTCTTTGCTGCAAATGTCCTGCTGTTTTCAAGAAACTGAAACAAAAGCACCACAGACTTAACTGATAAAAACAAAGCATGAGTGCTAAAAAATGTGGAGCTTCAACAGACACTTGTGATGTTACTAAAAGACATTTAATACATTTGTGTCTGAGGAAAAAAAAACAAACTCATGAGCCAGGACTTGAAGACAGTCCAAAGTGTAATTACTAAGTTGTCTTTTCAGACTAGTATTGCTGCTATCCTTTCATGGAGCTGGTACTCCTTGAGTTGTCTTCCTGACAAACATTTGTTAGTTTTTCATGTGCTCTGGATCTTCAGTGGCAGATGCCTTTTCTTCCTATCTTCTGCCCTCCCTCTGAAATACACCTTTGTGCATTACAATATTATGAAGTAAAAAAATGTTTACCTTGATATAGTACCTGTTTATTCAGTATTTAAAGTTAGCTCTCTTAGTAAAAAAAAACAACACCCCATTTATTTTTAAAGGAAATACACTAGTGTATGCTAATTCTAAATCTTCTCTTAAACAAGTACAGCTGAAGAATGAAGGTTTATTTTTATTGTAAGCATTCCTGTTAAATGCTGACGTGCTGCTCACTAAATATGCAGAATTGTTAATAACAGCTCTGCCTTACATGTTTGGGGATTTTCATGTCCTTTAGTGCTTAAATAAAAAAGTGATCCCATATGCATTCTATATAACTGTAAATATGAATAATGTGAAAACTGATTGCATGAACACTGCAATTAAATTGCCATTACCTGGGAAGGAAGCTAGGATCTAGAAAAAGCCATGACTTTCTTCTTTTAGATAAAGAATGAGTCATCACTGAACTTCTGAATGCATCTCCAAGACTGTGTATGAGTAATAGGAGACTGTCACAGCACTGATGGGTGCTAAGTGTTTGTACCTGAACCAGGTTGTAAAGCTGCAGTTGCAGGACCAAAGGTGTGCAAGGAAAGCAGATCATTGTTTACAAATATATGGCAATAAAATCTTCTTTGTTTGACTAATCCTTTCAGGCAGGATGAACAAACAGCTCTTTCCCTTAAAAAGAATTCTTCTGTGGAGTAGTTGCCCTGAGTTGTAGCCTTATTTTGTTAAGCACTAGGTTTTTCTGTTTCTAGGCTGTCTGAAGAAAGAGGCTGCATATTTACCTAAGTGATGTGATTTTTCTCAAAACAACTGATTTGAGTTACCTGCTTGAGTTGTAGGGAATTGAGCATGGAGTGCTAACTATAAATGCTACGTGACTGAAAACAAAATACCTTATAGTTGTCATTTTTCTCTCACTAAAAAAAAAAACCAAACAACTATGTATATAAAATAGCAGCACAATGGAAAAAAGTAAGAGAATGTAACAGCCAGTGTTACCATGAGGGGATTTTACAAATTGAAATGTACAATATTGCAACAACCAACATCCCAGGTTCTTTTGTACGTGTGGGGACAGAGGTGCTTCTTCTGTTAGTGCCAACACTAACCATCATCTGTGATAGAGTATCTAATGCAGATTATACACCAGGTAGTAGCCACATCGGAAGTTACCACACTGGAACATCTGCTTAACATGATAAAATGGCTGGTGCTGACTTCTGCTACCAACTGGCTACAGCCAGCACAGCCAGAGCCAGGTTTAAGTTTTAAATGCTTGGGCTCTGCTATACTGTAGTCCTGTGCAGACTGCAAGTACAAACCTAAAGCTACACCTGTAGCAACAACAGTGACAGGGGAAGAGGGCTGCACTTCCGTGGTGTTCTTACCTTAGCACGGCAGGCAGCTACATGGAAAACAACTCAAAAGCAAGTAAAAACCCTTCTCCCTTTGTGTTTAGTTTCCAGAAATGAATGCTATGATAATGAGGAGATTCAGTAAGCCAGGAGATGTTGAACGTGCATGGAAATATGTGTTGCAGGTAAGACTGATATAAAATATTTCTGCTGTCCCTGCTGCTCAGTCTGAAATGCATTGCCTCTCAAGTAAAATAGCAAAGCTGCATTGGCAAATACATTCTGAGTAGCATGCAACGTACAATGCCAAGTCAAAATTCCTCAGCTCTCTACTGGCACAGTGTTTTAGCAGAAATGCTAGGTAGAACTTTTTTTCTTTTTTTCCCTCCAATAGCATAAAATCCACATAACAAGTAAAAAGCTCATGCATGACCTCCGTTCTTTCAGCTGAGGCATAGCTGCATTCAACAGCTGGTATAAATGGCATGTCATTTCCAGTCAGTCTTGTAATGGCAGTGCACACCCTATACCAGTTCTAAATTACTCTGGTCTAAAAAGACTGAGTAATGGTCTGTGCAAAATTATTACCTATTTTTCAGAATAGCATGGGGGTTTTGTACATCTCTATTTAGGGCAGGAGGGGGAAGGGATAAACCATTAGTTTCTGTTTTGTTATTAATACCACTGCTGTTTTGTAGTGGATGAGTTGCTGTTTTAGCATGAATTAGTTTTAGTACTTTGACAGTTTGGGGCAGGTAGGTGGGTTTCTCCGATTACAGAATGAATCCCCTTCCTTTCCCCATCAGAATGTAATGCATTAGGGTACTTACTGACCTTAGAACTTGCCCCTGTGACGGGCAGAGGCAGAAGGCAGCAGGAGGCTGACCAGCTCCCCGTTTCCTCCCTCTGTCTCCCCTCAGAGTGATGGTGTGCAGCAGACGACCTACCTCGCCCAGCGCTACTGCCACGCGGCCACGCGCGAGATCCGCAAGCTGCGGCCGTCCCCCGAGAGAGAGGCCCTGGTGCACCTGACAGAAATGGTTCTCATGCGCGACAAGTGAGAGAACTCCTTCCACTCCTTCTGGCAGCTACTTTACCAGACTGTGCCTACATTTATTTCAAAAGTTATTTGCTTCCAACACAAGCTACCAAAAATTATTTTTTTAAAAAAACCTCCTTTTTTTTTTTTTTTTGAAGTTTTACTTCCTTTTTTTTTAAACAAAAGTTTAAAGTGTTTTACTGCGGGAAGCCATGCAAGTCAGAGCAAATCAAACTGTGCTGTACAATTGTTTTAGTGGGGGCTACTGATTGTGGGGGATGGGGAAGATGTTTACATGTTGATGCACAAAGGCCACAATGAGAATAAATATAAATCAGTGTATGAAAATGGAAGCTGTTCCAAATTTCACTTATTTGCACTAATAAAGAGAGCATGCTCGTACAGGAGCTGGGAAACTCCTCTGAAGAGAGAGGGTTTGGATGTTTCCCTGGCTACTTAACAGAAGAACCTGGAATTGTATGTAGATAAGAGATAGACTGGTTTACTGTAGAAGACTACATGTGGATTTTAATTGGTCATTCATCAATGAGATCAATTCATGCTCTTGGTGGCTACCTGCTAGCAGTTAACATGATGCAGAATTTGAGATTGTTACCAAATGAATGTTTTTGTTCAGAAAATGAAAGGCTCAGTATTTCTAACTCAAACTAAAAATGAATCATTCACCAGCCAGTCAAACCTGCAACCCCATCACTTTCATCACTCATTTATAGAATATATTCTGTGGCACCCCAGAAGCTACCTTTGAAGTCCCAGACACATTCTTCTCACAGTAATTACCCAGTAGTACCACATTCCTTCTCAGGTTATTTCAGCCACAGAATCTGTAGCACAGGGAAGCACACCCTCTCTGGCTGTCTCTGCCTGTGATCCCTTTACAAAGGCCAAGTTCCTGTCACTGTGTTCCCCTGGGTGTGACCTGGAGGACAGCCTGCTCCTGCTCCCTCTGCTCCATCTCCCAGAGCCACACAGAACTGTCAGCTACAGATGGTGTCCAACTTACTGCATCCAGGTAATTAGATTCAATCAAGAACCCTCACCGAAACTAAGTGCTGGCAGAAAAGAACTATTAAAAGTATGTATAAGTGTGTAATTCAGGTTTCAGATCTAATTTATTTTCCCTCTGTCAGTGATAAAGTCATGTTACAAACATTAGCTTTTTAGTACATTGCCTGGATAACACAGCCATGATTTTGCTACGTTTGCATTCCAAACTTCTTTGCCAAGCCAACCAACAAAGTAATGGACAAGACCTTTGGTTCACTTATATATTTATGAATGGAAAAAGTCATAATGTAAATTTACTCATTAAAAAAACTTGGGTACAAATTACACATACAGAAGACCACCCATTTTTTGAATCACATGGACACCTTAGACCCAAACAACTCATTGTAATAGACTTTAGTGAGAATACTCCAGGTAAAGATTACAACAATTGGAAGCATCTTGGATTTTTAAAAAAGTATATTTCAATACATAAGTTTGTATGCATGCTTTAAACAAATATAATTCAAGAATGAGCAAAGAGTCTAAACAAAAAGTAATATGACCAGCACTAACATTAAACTTCTCATCCAGGTTTTAATACGTTAGTCTAACGTAGTGTTAGTTACCATGCTGTACTGAAAAATGTAATGGCACAATCTGATCATGGTTCATTAAATATTATACCCTACTTCCCCATAATAATTAGGCTGGTCATAAAATTAACAATGCATAAGTAAATAAGTATAACCAGTTATAGACAGTTGCTTGTTTTACAAATTGCCATCAGGTAAGACATACTGTCCCCAGAGACTCAGAGATGGACATTCAATCATACCATTAAAACAGTATGGCCTGAAGAAATGGGCACAATTTTCTGAAAGTATATTAAGACAATTCTGTTAGCTTTTAGTTACCCCTTGTAAATAATCATGGTATGACTTGAATACAAGACCAAACTTTGAAAAGCAAAGGATTTTAATCGGCATAGTGCATGATTGATTCAACATAATTCCCAGGAAACAAGCCAGTTACTCGATTGCAAACTCCTTCATACCAGCCGTCATCATTCTTCTTTATCACATAAATGATTGCACCCTCCATAAACGACAGCTCATCATCTTTGTCCTTTGTATAGTCATATATAGCAACAACTGTGGAATAAACAGGGACACATTTAGCACTTTATTAATAGCAACAGTATTAAAAAGCAATTTTACTTCAGAAAATATTAAAAGATTAGTTCGCTGTCGTGGGATTTTCAATAATGAATTCACATGCTTTTCCTGTTGAACACTAAGCCCAGAAAATGGAATTTCACTTTCCTTGCAACATTAGCTAGCACTAAGAAGTGGGTGTTGACTACATTGAACACTCAGTTAAACTGCTGACAGAGAAGTACATCCAACTGTGACACCGTGAAGAGGAGCTCACAGACGCTTAAAAGCTGAGTTAGGGAACACCTGCCTTGTATGGTACCCATTTCTGACCAGATTACCTCAATAGCATGTGGATCTCTTTATATGAATCTCTTGATTAAAACAAAAAGAGTTGTACAAAAATCATTCCACTGAGGCCCCTTGTTGGCATCTCAGTGTGGCCTTGCACACGTTACTGCTAAAGCCATTGCCCAAGAATGAATGGGCATTCCTACAGAGCTTTCATGTCATAAGGAGTTCTGGCACTACTTTTCAAGGAGCTGCACTGAGTGCAAGTAGGAAAGTTGCTGAAGAAGACTGTAGAAGCAACATCTGCTATTTTCAGTACTTGCTTGGTACTACCTTACTCTTATAAAACTCCAACTTGCTGTGTGCCATTAACAAAGCAGCAGAGACTTCCCCAAGGGAAGAATGTTGCCACCACCAATACCGGAGTTAAAAGCTACCACTGTGAATATACAGACTTCGGACATCACAGCCTTACCCTTCAAAAGTTAATATGGATTTATGCAATTGATCAGCTTTATGAATTCCAAGAATCTGCTATTTTACACCTACATATATTCTCAGCTATCTGATGTCTTAATGCCTAGCAATGCTGTGCTGCATCAGTTATTTTCATCCCATGGGTATGTCCTGCACACAGTCCAGCTAAAGTGAAGAGGGAACACAGGAGCTCTGCCACAAATATCACATGTACCTGGCCCCATTTTATACTCACTGCAGCACCAGCCAGCTTATGAGAAAACTGGCAGCACTGCTGCTGACAAAATGGTCAGTGCTAGAACACACAGAAAAATCCACTGGCAAGAAATCTGCTTGTCCATTATTTATGGAAAGAGATGTTTACTACGTGACTTCATACCTAAGCACAGCTCACAGTCTGCTGATCTGGAGTCACTGATAAATCTCCAAGGAGACCTCAACACATTTTATAGTTCAAAGTCTAATAATCCACTCTAGTAATCTAGTTTGATGAGATAAATACAGCTTGGAATTTCTGTCCATTTTGCAGCAATCTGTAGATGACTGCCCAGCAATCCTGAGGTAGGTACAGACAGTCCAGCTCATCAAAGATGAAAGCCATCTGATTTACACGGATGCTTCCCATGAAGAAACTTGCTTTTTCACCCATTCTAGAATACTTGAAGGTATTTTATAATTTGTCCAAAGAAGGACTATGTCTTACCACATTAGGTGTAGACACAAACTAAGGAAAGCACGGCTTGAGTTCTGACTTAGGAGGGACAATGACTGTTTTCATCAGACCCACACTAAGTTCTTCATTCCCTTCAGACACCATTAATCCCCTGATACTGCACTAACACAGCTGCAATGCTTCTCTTACCTTTCTCTATGTAGTTTTTAGGTGCCCAAGCAGGATCTCCATCTGCATAGGGATCGCTGTACTGCACAACAGCGGCCTCCTCATCCTCATAATCCACAGGTGGTGGGGGTGGAGGAGGAGGGGAGTCATCAAACATCGGCATCTCATCGGGAGGCGGCGGCGGGGGAGGAGTTGGGCTATCAGCAACTAGAAACATTTGGAGATGACTGTTTTTTCTTAAATCAAGACAGTGCGGAGATGCAAACAAACCTGAGGCTGTACACTGTAAATAAAAGAGCTGGGGGGACAACACACACAGCATGCACTATAATACCATGCACTGATTAGAAACAGAGGCTTTGTATTAACAACTACAACACACAACTCTATTTGTTATTAGTGGTCCAATCTATGTGTAAATGCTACTAGAGTCAAAGCACATGCTGCGGGGCATAAGCTGAACATCAGCAGAGAGGAAAGCTTCCTGCTCCAATGTCCATGCGCGCAGCGTTAGCTATGGAGGACTCGAGTGGCACCCTCTGAGCCAGGCAGCAACAGCCTCTGACTGGGCCAGCAGCTTGATTGGTTTTTAACAAATCCTTTGTAACAGTCACTTCAATTTACTTCTGAACACTGCTTCCTTGGATTCCTTCTCTCTCAGAGCTAGTATTGGGGAACAAAAAGATCCGGTGTGGATCATAAATACTAGTCTCTTCCCTTTTTTAAGATTTAACCAGGTAAGAGGAAGGCAAGTAATCCTTCTGCAGAAGAAAAGCTTTGTACAGATCCTTCCTTATCTTGAAGACTAGCTTGTGTGTGTGCACACATGCAGGAGTCAATTAATAAATGGAAAACAACAACAGGCAGCTGCCGCTCTTAGAGAAAAAGTGCTCAAGGAATTAAATGTATAATCCAAAATGTCAAATCCCTGCCCTGAGATTCTCCAATCAGCACAGTTACAAGTTGCTTTGGGAAAGGGAAAAAGAGAAAGGCATTATGGTATAAATCACTTTTTAAACCAGTTCATTAAATTAGTTTCCAGTAATGTTGACAGCAGCTGGCAGCAAAATAGAGAGATGGCATACTCAGATGCAGTACATCAAGTCACTTATCCTGTTCCTAGGGAGATGTGGTCCACTACACATGGACCTGGTGTAAGCACTATGAAGCCACAAGTTACTGAAAGGAAGCTACTGTTACTGACATAAATTTGGTTACATAGCAACACAGATTCATTTTCCAGAGATCTGGGATTCTGCAGACTGAAAACATAGGCTGAAAACTACTGCTCTAGGCAGGGTTTGATGGAACAAGGCATCAGGCCTCAGAATGTGCAGCTCCAGCACACAAATTTTGAAAAGAAAGCCAAGCAACAGAGAAAGAACACTGCACTGAATGAAGCTTTAACTACTGATAGTTACAATGGCATTGGAGATTAGAAATAGGGTGTTTGCTTAAACACTTTTTACTTTTGGCTGGTCACTACTCTAGTGGTGACTTAACCTTTGCTCTTCAGCCCATGCTCCTGACAAGTGACTTGGGCACAGCTCCCATGTCCTGTCTGGGTCA